TCATCTGACCAAGCCACGGTTTTCCATTCGTTTAGGGACCAACCGATATGCTCACGAGCCCACCAGAGTCGCTTCAGGCGATGTCGTGCTGTCAGTAAAGGCACTCGAGTCGGTCTTCTGCTGGCATAGCCCAAGGAAGACAAATTTCGCCGCACTGTCCTATCGGACACGTCCGTCGTACGTCTCACATTGATTTCTGCGGTTATTTGACGCAGTGTTGCTTGTCTGTGAACATTGACAACTCTACGCAGACTTCGCTGGTCTCGGTCGTTAAGTGCAGGTGGTCGGCCACTGCGCTGTCCATGGTGGGATGTTATGCTTGAAATTAGATACTTTCGGCACACTCTTTGACACTGTGGATCTCGGAATGTTGAATTCCCTAACAATATCCGAAATGGAATGACCCATGCGTCTAGCTCCAACTACCATTCCGCGTTCAAAGTCTGTTAATTCTCGTCGTGCGGCAATAATCACGTCAAAGCCTCTTCACATGAATAACTAGAACACAAATGAAAGCCCTGCCAAAGCACTTCGCATTTATACATTTTCTACGCGATACTACTGTCATCTGTATATTTGCATATTGCTATCCCATGAATTTTGTCAGTTTAGTGTATTAGTTTTTTATTCTTTTGTGCCCGAAATTTTTATAATGTATTGACCAGCTAAAAAGTAATGAAAATAAAATAAAAAATGTATTTAAATCAAGATGGTTAAAATCAAGAATACCTCTTTTTTAGGTAACAAATATAAAATGGTCATTAAATTCCTTAAAATGTGTGTTATACAAATTCGAACTTTTTAAAAAAGAAATGGAGGGACCCAGCTTTATGTTCTAAAAGTTACGAAAAATTACACTTTATTCATATTGCAAAGAAATATTTTAATTAAAATAATTTTGAATAATAACAACAATTGGTCAAATCAAACAGTATTTAATAAAAAGTGTTAGGTACTCGTGTTATATAATGTTTCCTTCGTCATCATTAATAATCACTAGTAGACGCAGGAGATTCTTTTTCCAGAAAATTATTCTCATTTTCAAGCTTTCTTCAGTAGTACTTTTCGAAGTCTTTCTTTTTTATTTATTTATTTTTTTAAAGTTAAGGGATTTAAAATTTCCTTTTATGAAGTCAAATACTTGTGAAGGCTTTTCTTAAATTTTGAGTTTCTTTAAACGAACGATTTTTTATTTACAAATATAAGTTCAACTTTTCGGCTAAGTTGTGCACAATAAAGGACAGTGAATTATTTTTACTTCCTTGTACGAAGTAAAAAAGAAGTATTGTAACCGCGAAAACTTTCGAGTATCATATTTCAACGAAAATATCCATTTTGACCGCTATTTAACGATTATTTAACGCTATTAATGAATGCAATTTAACGATGTTTTTGCTTGACATCAGTACGTAAGGACAGAATAAATGACTCTTTTCCCCAAACGAATAATAAAACTGATTTAAAATGGATCCAGAAGAGATTTTTGTCGTGGTGTCTGTACGTAAGTACGTATGTATGTTTGTAACTCGCATAACTCAAAAACGAATAGTCTCAGAACATTGAAATTTTGTATGTGGGACTGCTATAACATGTAAATGTGCACCACCCTTTTTTGGTTACAATCGGCAGCACCAAAAATTATATAAATATATGTATATATATATATCCACTCTGTTACGCGGTTCAGTGAGCTCAGTTTCTTTATTCTTATATGTTTGTAAATCGTGCACTCTTTGCTTTAAAAATGGTTGAATTATGTTGTTATCTTCCGGCTAAACTTTTTATGCCTTTACTTAACCTACATGCAATAATTGTGTATTGATCAACAGTTTAAAAGTTTTCTAAATGCGGCTAAGCCAAATTTTTGTTTAGCATGGCAGCCATATTTGTTTACATTTGACACTTAGCAGAATAGTGGATTTGTTGCCAATCTAGAGAAACTAAGCTTAACAACAACAAATTAATGTCTTCTTTTATTATTGCGAATTAAATTATGCTTAATTCATTCTGTAATTATCATTTAAGTTATTAGCTTGTTTTTGCGTAGAAACTGTAATTTTAATTTTAATTTTTTTTATTTGTTTTAACTGTACTTGGTGTTTTATGTTTTTCTATATCTTTCAAATTTTAATGAAAATGTTTTGAATTTTTATGTAATTTTGCCTTGCCGCGAAGTGGGAACTGAATTAATTAGGTGCGCATGCACATTAGGTAAGCGGTACTGAATGGTCCATGAAAAACGGTTTTTTTTTTTTAGTTTCTTTTATATATCATTTTAGATTTATTATAGTATTTGAATAGAACATGTGGTCATTCTTCAGATGATATAGTTTTTATGTTGAGTTATAAAATGAACAAGATGTAACGCTGTTAACTGAACCTAGTGCCGAAGTGTCACTATGGTAAATAAACAGCGCATTTGTTCTACTGTGGTTTATGCGCTATCGACGAAGTAAATTTAATTCAAAATTCGTTAACTATTAATTCAATATGTTTAATTGAAATGCAGGAAAATTGTGTATAATTTAATATTCTGTACAAGGAAGTCATGTGGCGTACCTATCAGATTTTTTTAAAATTTAGTTTCAAGGATGATTTCTTTAAATCATTAAACTATGTGGCATTTTAATATCGTTGCGAGATATGGATTAATAAATATCTCCTTAATAATTTACATGAAGTGAACATAATGAAATTTACAGTTTATATAAAGCACTAAAATTCAAATAAACAACTATAAATAGCTGAAGAAGAGAAACATAAATAAGGAAAATGCTCCTTAACAGTGAGAAATATCATGCGTCACCAAAATCATTCACACTCAGTATGGCTGCGTGATTTTGAACTGAATCTTTCAATTAACTCAGCGAAGAAAGCGCTTTTTAAGCAGCATATTTATATAGTTGCCCAGCAATTCTAGAAGCTCCGAGAAAAAACACTCCTAGCACTATGAAAATGCATTTATCGGAATCTTCTAAAATATTCCTAAGTTGGCTAGAAATCGCCAAGTGACGCCAATTTAAAGACAAAAATTTTCGCTGTGGTTTGTTAGGAGAGTTTCTGTCTATATCGCAGGTCTTGATTAAGTTATCTTCTCGAATAAAACGTCGATCCCTCAGAATTAGAAAAATCTTCAATACAGAGCACGAAATAAACGCTTATAATAAGCGGGCATTTAGTTCCGCCCCCCATTCCGCCAGAGGTAACAGGTCCGAGGGTACCCTCCTCTTCCACCAACCACTCGAGAGGACTTTCGGCTAACCGCATATTTAGAGTGCCCTTGAAAAGTTTTAAGGATTAAAGTTAATCCGTGCCCAGCCATGTTGGTGTAACAGCGTAAAGAACTACTATCAGATTTTTGCGTCGCACCAGAGGGTTTATGTTAAAGTCTTTTATTCTCTCGCTTAGCATCGCAGGTTACCAGTCTGCTCTTGGAATTTAAATCAATCACATCAAATTTGAATTTAAATCAATCACATCAAAAAGCAGAAAAATATTTTAAAGAACTGAGTTTATTACTTTTAAATCGCTTAGTTTGTTACTCAGTAACTTTTCAGGTTACATTTGAAAGTTAAATATCTTAGGCTTTACTTAATGGTAAAAACTTGGCTTGTAGAAGATAAAATTATTTTTTCCTAGCAGTTCCAAATTGCTGAGTATTTTAATTAAAATTTAAAGATAAATTACTTGCATTTTTCCGAATAACAACAGTCTCGTGCACTGGAGATTAAAACGTTTTATTTCGAACAGTGTTGCTACTGCTCGCTTTCAAATCGCTTAGTTTGTTAATCAAAAATTTATTAAATTTATACAAAATACGAAATAAATAAAAAACAAGTTCGAAATTAAAAATTCGGCTTTACAGTATGCATGTTCAGGAGGATTACGTCTATTCAAAATTTGGTGGCTCTAGATACTGTTTTTCCACTATGCGAGGAATGTGCATATGTACTGAAAAATTCTTCATTATTTACTTTCTTTAAAAATGATACATGGTGCCAACAATTTGAAAAATGTGTAAGAGATGTTATTTTAATTTCAAACTAACCAGTTTTCTTCAGTTACTTAGCTTTTTTATCTTTCCTATTTCCATTTCCTGCAGGAATGATATTTCAGTTTCGCGTGAAATGCAAAGTAGGGTAGATAAATACTCTTTAAACTGGTGTCTGACACTTCAGACACCAGCTTAAAGAGTATAAACTTAACCTGTCTGAGTTACTTCAGACAGAGCGTGTTTTGGCGTTTGGCCACGTTTACGAGCGTGCATATTAATTGCCGGTTTGTGTACGTTGGTGGTAGGGCTAACAGCCAACTCGCGTTAATTATTTCTGCGCAACTTCGGCTTGTTATTTAACTTAGTTTTAATTTTATGTTATTTTGAGTTGCAGCCAAAAGTCTTGTCTAAGTTTATAAGGACCAGGAAGGCCGTCTGTAAATTACTTCTTGAGTTGAATAAAAAGGTCTTTTCTCCCTTAGTACAACTTGTCTTTGATGCAGTTTGAACTTAGAGAATAGTCGCTTTGCAGTTCAAGTTCAAGCAGCAAAGTAGAGTTCATTTAGCTAGAATCTTAAGTGCTTCGAATAAAAAGCCTCTGGTGCTAATCAAATAAATAAATAAATAAAATTAACACTGTAAAGCACAGAGAACACCGAAATGCAATCAATTAAACACTAATATTTATATAAATAAAAAACATAATGTTTTGAAGGCGAGGCAGCTCGTGGCAAGGGCAGTTTCTGTAGTCGAAGCGTGTCAAAGTGAAAATCGTGTTGTATGAGTGTCGTATTATATGATGGCTTCACGTATATTTTTAATAATATTATATCGTATACTATATCATATATGCTTCGATTTTCATAGTTTCTAGCGCCCCAACCAGAATTCTAAATATGACTCGTTAAAAAGAGGCGTCTTCTATCTAGCTAATCAAATCTTCCTTCCGTAATGACTGAAATCACGAAATCTATTTTTAGAATAGAAAATGAGAGCAAGTTCTTACCGGCATAAATCCTTCTTTGTAAATGTTTTATATAACTAAATTTTTTGATAATTTCTAGAGGTGCTTGGAGAGGATTGTGAAAATTACCAGTATGAGGTGCTATCTCAGCAAGGTATAGAAATAGTGGCTGGAACGGAAACATTGCTGCTAAAGTATTATGCAAAAGAATAAACAAATTTAATAAAAATATAAGTTTAATGTGAGTATTTGAATAGAGTCAACATTCCCAGTTTTAAGAATTGCGATGCAAACTTAGGATTCATTAGCGCTAGAAAGTTCAGTTATCTGAGTTTTCAATGCACATGTTAATTTTCGGCAATATGAATTCTAAGTTGGTACACAAGGCATTGATATTACACAGATATCGGCTATTTTCTTTGCCAGTTTACCAAGTTCTGGCATTTGAGATTCGTCTCAGTTCTGTTAAAATAAATTATCTTGATAATTATCATTCCTTTTCTTAAAGATTTTATATAAATCAATTTCTTTTCATCCAAGTAAATATATTTATTACCCGTGGAAAACGTTTACACAAATAAAGTTTCATTGATACAGAAGAATAATTACGCCATTTATTTTACGTTCTTGTATTTTATTTAAATTACAGCTTTTCTGAAACTTTTCCTTTAGCAAGTTCCCCAAAATTTTTATCTCACATTTTAGATTCAAAAATATTTTTTGAGACGTTAGACAATATGTATTTTTTCAAACTGATTAAAGATTTGATCATTTGATGAGGAATCTTAAGTCCCCAGTAAAAATTTAATTGATTAAGTGGTCAATTATCAAATTAACTGTCCCATTCCTACTTCTTATCTATTATTTTTTACATCAGTTACAAAGACGCCCTTTGTCAGTCTATGTCCCCTATCGAGTTGGTAGTCCTACTGCACCACAATTCCTTCTGAGCGGCGTTGGAACTCTGTTTATTACTCGCCATTTTTACTAGGTATATTAGTGGAAATATCATCAAGAATGTTGGTGACGGTGCTCTGACACCATCTTTCATTTTCTCTTGGCTATCACAAAATATTTGGAAAAATTCTAGCTTGTTCCGTAAGAAACTTCAATGTAGTCATTTTTGAAACCACGGGAAAGGCACACAGAGTGGTCGCTTGCAGCCACAGGAGTGGCCGGGAAAGCGGTGGTGAGAAAGAACGACATATATACTGAAAGTTAATGTGTTTATTGCACTGTGGTTTGCATAGCTAATAAGAACCCGAAAACGTTTTGGATACTTCTGTGACTAATATTTTTAGCTGTGTAAGAGCTAATACTTTTAGCTCTGGTTATATTTAGGCCATACTCTATTCACGCATTCGAAAACATCACTGGTGTGACTTAGGCACAACTTTCTGCAATTCGAGCACGCAAATCTAAAATGGTCTTTTTCATTCTGCTCCGTCCCCCCAGTAAGACAGCTGACTGTTAGGAGTTCGACTTCAGGCAAACAGATAGCTGAATTCGGTAGTTTTCGTGGTTTTATCTATGTCTAATGTAAATACGAGCGAGTTTTTCTAAGAAAGTCCTTCACAAAAGCCTCCCTCACTTTAGTCAGATGCCCCTTGCGTACTTTGCTACATTCGGATATCATAACTCACTTTGCCCCAGTCTTTCCGGCAAACAAAAGTTTATGATTTCTTCTTGCTGGCTGTATACACCCCAATGCAATAAGCACATTAAATTCAGATGGATGCGTCACTGATTTTCATCATTCTTTCCCAGGCAGCCTGTATAATCGTTATTCTTGCCAAAAGATCAACAATAAGAGCATGATATTCAGCGATTTATTTCTCCAAGCTGAACAATCAAATAGTGACAGCTCAGTAGCAAAAGAATGCTGCCTTATTTAGGGCACATTTGTGTATGATGTCCATTATATATTTCACATGCCAATCGAAATACACTATGAATTCAATGCATTTATTGAGTCAAAATGTGATGTAAATTCTACTTTACCTCTATATTATCTCGTAGATACTGCTGTAACTTTATTATGCGTTGTGTTAGAAAAACGGAGTTGATTGACTCTTGTAATATTCAGGTTGTCTTAAGTTACTATAATTTGTGCTTTATATATAGTTTCAAATAGCATGGATTTCATTGTACTAAGCCTAAAAATAGTTAACACGCCAAGGAAGTTCGAAGCTTTATTCCTTTATATTTAGGACACATATTTTTTATTTGGTGGAATTCACATAAAAAATTAAAACACACATCAGATTCTCACAAATATATTTATTTTATTCAAATTCGCACAAATTTATTAATGTGAGATTTATAACGATAGATCTGTCCATGGCTGCTACACTCTATTCCATTTATATTTTATGTATGTGCATTAGAGATGCTGTAGCATATATTATTAGATTGTCGACAGATTGCACCGATAATTTTTTGACTTCTGGTAAAGACCGGTGTATCGTTATACTGCACATTTCTTAGAATCTTCTTGTCTATCGCGATAGCACTGAATTACGTCACTATTTTACGTATATTGTAAATTTAATTTTATTTAACCATTATATCATAAGAATACCATTTAGTTTTACTTAGAAGTACCACTATATCGAGACCTACAACTTATAAGTTCAATTGATTTATGTTTTCAGTTGTTTAATCTACCAATAAAACTTTCCAGAAAGCAAGTTAAAGATGCAGACAGCGTTTTCAAATAGAATACCATGTGAAGGGAGGTTTTTATTTATTATTTCCTCCTAATTAAGTTTCGGCTGGATTATTTGAATTACGGCAAAAGAATGTGAAAGTTACCTGCCTAAAGAGAGGAAGGCCTTCATGGTGGAAGTTTTAATGAAAACCGTATATTCACGTTACACGTGAGAATTCGTTAATCTGAAGATGAATTAGTGTAAATCTGTAATTCTTTTGAACACGTAGCAATGGAGAAGCGAGTTATTATAGTACTTTTTATTATCATATGCGTCTGAATACAGTTTAGCGATTTTTTAACAGAAAGGAAAGAAAAATAATTTATAATTATGAAAAATTATTATGTACACTTTATTACACACATTTTTACGTTTTAATTAGGAATTTATTTTGGAAATTTATCAATAAACCTACTCAGAAGAAAATGAACATGGCAACGTTGCTTATTGAAACTGAAGAATTGTTATGAACACCGTTATTGGAATTTGGCGACTTCTGCTGAAGTGGTCGGGCTAATAAAGGGCCGTTAATACGTTATTAAAATTACAGTAGGTCAGAATTCGAAAATAAGACTAATTTAAAGACAACTAATAAGAATCATGGGTTTAATCCTAGTATCCGGTGCATACGGGATTTGGCTACTTTATGATGAGCACTAAAAACGCGACATATACTATGAGTAGTAAACGGGTCATTCAAAGAATATATATCGTTAAACATAGTATATACCTATGTATATAGTGATACTATATAGTGTATAGTATATACATAGACGTTCTTCAAGTCATTTTTGGTGTTGGCGATAATTTTCAAAATCGCGCCAAGGCTGCACCGTGTACTAGGATTTTACCGAATCATGTATTACTAGGGGTTATATAATTTCTCATCTTGCAACGGTTTTCTTTATTATATATTCCCACAAACACACACACACACAAAAAGCGAGAAAAGAAAAGCTAGCTTTTCCTTTTTCGATAGCTATTTCAAATCGAATAAAAAATAAATCTTCTAAATGTTCTCCATGTATTAATAAATGTAAATTTAGCTAACACTGAAGATATCTGACATATTTACATGGATATTAGCACTAATAATCAAGATTTAATTTCTTTAAATTCAGAGAAAGGCATTTCTTGAGCACCAAACTGGCAGAATTTTTCATTTCTGTACAAATTTCATATTAAGGATTCTGACGATACTAATTTTGAGTTGTAAATTACGTTGATGAAGAAGAGAAATACAAAAATTCAGAATATTCATTAGAAAAGTTATATTAACTAGCTTAAAAGTTTTAAACTTTTCTTCTTTAACAAATTGAACAAGTTTTATAATACAGTGAAATTTAGAACACTTCGAGTTCTAATTTTAAATATTGTTTACTTTAACAACGGAATAGTCAACCATACGTCATAATTTAGAGTCATCTGATTAGACGTAAAGAAAAATTAAGTAATCACATAATCCTGTTTTCTTACTCCCAAGGAAAATTTGATGCTTTTAAATGAAATCTGAATTAATTACTGTTAACTTACTTTTGAGGTATTATGGTTACGAATGATATCAGTTGCAACCTGTGTGAAGAGATGAGTGGCATATTCTCCTCTGTGGCCCCTGACGAGAGTTGTTCCATTGTGAAGGTCTATGCCACTGAATTGCTATTAAACATAATATGATATAATAAATTTTTTATGTTAGGTTAAAATAATGTTTTAAATGAGTTAGAGGCTGTTATGTTTATTAACCAGCTATCCCTTACTGTTACTTCTATTTTCACCGGCTTACCCTAGGATGCAAATTAGGTAAAGCATTAGCATACAGTTCTTGAGTTCGAGAGAGAGATTTTGATACCTATCGCTTCTGAATTGCTTGAATCAGCTTAATCTTTGCTATTCGTAATTGCTCAAAATAATCTTAATGGCATAATTTACTTTTAATCGGAATTTCAGAGCCTGAGCCAAGCCACTCTTTATTTTGTAAATATTATATTTTAATACTTACATTTTTACTTTAACATTGCTTCTGTTACTCCTGAAAACTGCAGGGACTGTTTCTGTTATTACTTAAGTTGTGTAATTGTTAAGCTGGCAAACTAATGGAAAGATTTTTTCGAAATTTTCTTTTGTGTTGGAGTTCGGAGAGATAAGTCATCTGACTATTTTCACGGAACTCGAGATAAACATTTAAAGTAGTTAGGTTCCGTACACAAGCGCCCAGTGTGCACGAGTAAAAACGCTTGGAGATTCAGCAAGTTTTATTATAGCCTCAGCATGCAAATGGAAGGAATGACTGCAAATCCGATAGCAAGATACCCACGTTTTAGAGCATTCAAGGCTGCACTAATTAAAGCATTTGCTACAGTAAAAGATAGGGATGTGTTGGTGTTGGAATTATCTACAAAATATCAGATAAAAAAGGAAGAATTAACGTCCCTTGTATTAAAAAAAGTAAAAATTGTGAAGTTATTATACGGAAGAAAATCATACAGGTTATGGAAGTCAGGACACCAGTATTTTGCCGACATTTTGATGGTTAGACGGGTTAGTACCACGCTTACTGCTGTGCTAGAAGAAAGATTCTAATCATAGAGATCATTACGTCTACTTTACAAAATTTCCGCAAGTAAAAAATTTCGTCGAATTGAGGAATTCCCTATGTTGGAGTAGTTATTCGTATTGGCGGTAAAATAAGGAAGCCGTAAGCAATGGTCGAAAATAGGTATGCCGATACATTTAGTGATAGGTTCATTGAGGGATACAGCAATAGATTTGGAGGATGAGATGACGGAAAGTTCGGCACTATAAATAGGGATGACAACTGGAAGATAAATAAATCAAAGGATTTGCTCAAATAAATAAAAGGGCGATTGTCATGTGAGTAGGAAAAATATTTTTGGTGGGAGGAGAAATGTAGTGTTAACAACAATAAGATGAGTAGTATAAGCTAGGAAGAGTGCTGAAGGTCAGAGAGGTCAGTCAAAGATAAGCAAAATAGTTAAGTCAAAGATAAGTTAAAGTTTCTGAAATTCAGTTGAATACGGTATTTGAGGAATGCAGAATTAGTAAGATCATGTTCGGCGTTGTTTGATTAAACCCGGGGTTAACACGTTAATGAGACGAATGTTAGTCCAGATGGAGAACAATAATTTGTCCCCGTAGACCATAAATCATGGCGGTTTACTAAGGATTGCAAAGACTTAACCAGCATAAATAAATATCCAGTTTTCGTTCTACCCATAATCGCGGAAATAATTAAAAATTTAAATCACGAAGTAAATGATCTCAAGGATGCTAATAGATAGGCCTGAGAAGTGAGGATGTTCCGAAATTGGAATTTATCACAAAACTGGGTTTGTACGCATTTCTAAAAGTGCTATTTGGGTTATGCGGAGTTTCCGATATGTTCTAGAGAGCTATCAATGTAACACTATTTTTAAGTATATTTCAGATCTTCTAAAAGAAGCGGGTTCAAAAATGAATTGTTCCAGAAAGCAAGAAATGAGCGCTTTATATTTGGATTGTGTTCATACTGTTGGACTCTCATTAAGGATTTTGCGAAAATTACTGAACTCTTGTTGAATCTCAAAAGGTAAAAGACAAAGTTTAATTTGCCAGTGGAGGCGAATGCAACTTTTGAGAAGTTTAAAACTGCTTTGTTTCAAGTTCCTGTCTTGAATTTTCCGAGATTGGAACTAGCTGCAGAGACATCTGATTTCACGGTAAGAACCATGCGTATGCATGATGGTAAGCCTGTTACAACTTTTAGTGGAACTATTAATCAAACTAAAGAAATTATACAGCTATTGAAGAGAAACCTTAGAAATTCTGTTAACTGTACAGAAATTTCAAAAATATTCTCGCTGATGCGCTGTTGGCAGTTAAACTGGATGATAAGGGAGAACAGGTAAAATGTGCCATGGTAACTTCGAAAATGATAGATTCTCAAAATACAATACTTATATAGATATATATTATAAAAAAATGAAAATTTAAAGAAAATTTTAAGGTATGGGATAGTGTTGAATGGCAAGCATTCATTGTCTTCCCCACTGCAGGCCAACGTTAGAAAATTCTGTCCCAAATTTAAAGGTATTTTTTTAAGTAAGCGATTAAAAGTTGTGGTAAATTACTTTATAGGGCAAGATTGTTCCATAGCTATAGGTAATTTCGACCAATTAAAGCGCTTCCATGAACAGCAGCCATTTCGTTAATAAAAGAAGTTTTAAGAACAGTCTTTGAAGGAAATGGTGAGATCCAACTGGTATGAATCAGGCCAATAAAGCTGAAACAGAAGTGCCACAAGTCTGCAGCCGTCGCTCCAAGAAAGAGAAATAAGGCCTGAAAATTGGACTAGAATTAAAATAAGCGCCGAAGAAAACGCTACCGCTACAGCAAAAAGGAGGTCCAGCGACCCATGATCAGAAGAAACAGTAAAGGATCATAACCCGGCGAAAAAGAAAACGTAACATCTAACTTCAACATCGGTACAGAGCCCGAGTGCAAATCGGGCTCTGTACCGATTAAATCGACCAAGAGAATAAAACAAATTAAAAAGATTACATTGAACTTCTTTTCGGACATTCCAGGTAGACCTAAATAGGTCGGTTACGAAACGCCTCAGGAGTATAGAAAAAGATCAAGGCAGCCAGAGTGCGTCCACAGCATAAGATAAGCAAGTAGCCCAGGTACAACAGAAAGATAAGTGCAGATTCAGTTCTTATCTATTTAAATGGAATTTTTATTATCTTTATATGTGTACTTCAGTTTGCTTGTCTGTTACACCACAAGTGAGGATTTTTGAATTTTAAGTAGTAGCTGGAATGTTTTCTGCTTATGAATTTTAATATGCTCTATAAAATTTATTTTGTGTGCTATTACAAAGATTGTCGCC